TATATATATATATATATATATATATATACATATATATAGATATACATACATACATATATAGATATATACATACATACATACATATATCTATAGATATATACATACATACATACATATATCTATAGATATATACATACATACATACATATATCTATAGATATATACATACATACATACATATATCTATAGATATAAACATACATACATACAAAGATATAATAGTGTGTGTGTGTGTGTGTGGGTGGGTGGGTGTGTATGTGTCTACAAAAAGATATGTGCAAGTTTTTGTTAATGTGCTTCTCCAAGAGAAAAATTCTCCCATAACTTCTAGTATTTATCCATCATGACTTCTATCACAAGCTATATTAAAAAGAGGGAAAAAAATAGTAGACTTACTATGGAAATACAGAAAAAATAATCTATAATTTCGAACAAATTAAATTCTGATTAATGATAAATTACCTAGTAAAGCACCAAATAGAACATCTGCAAAACTAAGAAAAAAATGAATTTAAAACACTAGATTCTTTTCAACATTCAGCGTGGTATTTTGTCAATTCACGAATGATGACAACAAGAAATGGGCTTGTTAAGATCCCTTCAAGGGTTAAAACATAAACTGAACTCATAATGCACAGAAAGAGCTATGTCAAACATATTAATCCAACCTCTTTTAAAACCTTTTTTAAAATATGTATTTGTCACAGCCACGTTTTGCCAAGTCAAAGGTAAGTCCAAGAATAACATGGATTACCATATAAAAAAAAAAAAAACTAAGAACAATTGAAATAATTGCAAAATACCTAGTAGTGATCCTTGAGCTTTCAGTGGCGTTATGCCATCCGTAATGAGACATCACAATCCCGCAGAAGAAAACTGTAGGTATTCCGCTTAAATTTAATAGCTACATGATTAAAAAGCTTCTATGAATTCTCGGGCATAGATGGATACCATACAAAAAATGCATAAAATCATGCACACTAATCAAATCCATGCAGGTACAACAGATGGAACACATACAAACATTACATAAAAGTATGAACACAGAGTTAACGGTAAGAATAGGCAGTGGTAGCCAAAACATTAAGCATTATCCAATTTGATAAAAATAATTATGTAAGATAAAAATAATTAACAGATATTAAAATGGTGTTCGATTATTTACAGATCATTTTAATCTCGGAATACATGAAAGTATAAATTAGTCCTCACACTCTTTTAATAAAGATTAAAAAACTCAGTTTAAAAAAGTATGAGGAGCATTTCAACCTGCTTTAAGAGTATCTAAAGACTAATTTAATATTTTTATTAACTCAAGATTAAAATTACCTCCTACAGAGAACATTTTAACACTTTCTAAAAAAAAGAGTAATTCTATCCTATACAAGCATTTAGGGTGGGCAGCACATAAAAACAATATTATCACCATTATATTTTATATATTTTTGTCTCCCAAGCATGGCAAGCCATAAACAGGGGAAAAGTTGAAAAAAATGAAACAGATCTGACCTCAGCAACCACATAAGATAGGTAAGCCATCAACATCATTAAACCTACTTCACGGTCAGTTGAATGCCTATTGTACACAGTGTCAACTTAAAATGCATTTTTCATGATAAAAGAATTGAAGTCTTCTTTTCAATCAAAATATTACCTGCCAAAATAGAAGGTCTTTAGAGTGTAGGCAGTCAAAAGCCCTACCTGATATGATGGAAAAATAAATAATAAATAAATAAAACAAACAAATGTTCAATGAAGAACAATGGGCAACAAGGAATAAACATGCCATGAAGCAATAATGCTTACGGCAACCCCCAGAATAGTGCTTGTCAAAAATAAGTATAAGAAGTCCCAAAGAAGAAAAAAAGCTGTTCCACCGCCAATTTTAGATGCCTTGATCTTCTGAATCGCATTAAAAAGAACTATCGATGTAGCACCATTCACAACACCTTCCCCAAATACTAAGCTGTAGAGGTGAGGAGTCTCATCTTGATGTAAAACCTAAATGCAAATATATAGTTTAGATTATTAGAGTTTTCAGTTCAAATTTTGAATAGAACATTGAAATCGAGTAAGTTGTCAAACCTGCACTGTGCAAACTGTATCTGTAGAAGAAAATATTGCACCAAGTGCTGTTTAGAAGATAACATGTTACTACAAATTATAAGATGAAATTTAAATTTTAACAATGATAAACAAAACTTGATAGAATTTCTATTACAGACCAGTTGCCTGGGTTTTTTTATCACAGAAAAAAAATGTGTTATAGTCAAAAAATAATAAAAATCATACCTAAATATTCCCGAAGATTAAGTCCTTCAAAGCCAATCTTTGGAAAGAGCCACCAAGTTCCTAAAAAAGGACACTTAAATAAAATTAAACACAAAAAAGGTCTGTTCTGACATTGGCATCATGAACTGAATATTAAAGCCCATGACAGTGGACAAGAATAAGAATTTCATAAAATGAACAAGAAGTATCTCCAAATTACTCTCAAGTCAAGAATAGAAACACATGATACTGGTCTTTCATGCATTTAGATGATTTACCAGATCTGTATTGGATTGAATGTCGCTCATGGCGAGAACTCAAGACCCTAGTAGCATATTGCGCCTAAGAACAAAAAATACTAGAGAGAGTGAAAGGGAGAGGCTAAATCTCAACGATTAAGGGAATTGGTCAACAAAAGATCCAATTGACCTTCGACAAAAAAGGGTGACCCAAATTGACCTACAAAGACAATTCAGTAGAAATAAGAGAGTATAAGGAAAATCGTGGAGAGATCTGAGATATTTAAAAGGTGAGTTTGATAGTACCTTTGGCAATGTAATAAAACAAGAACCCCAAGTCAACAGGAAAATACTCAAATTGGGTTACAAGGTTCCTGGTACAAATAGCCTTGATGAATAGTCAACTTCACAAGTCCCTTAGGTGCTTACGTATCTCAATAGACTGGATCAAGTAAGGTCTAACTTGTTGGTGACTTAACAAGATTCAATTTTGGGCAGCTCATAGCTGTAGGTGACTTGAAGCTTGGATAGTTATAAATTGAAGATATTTAAAGGCAATTCATAATCTTCTACTTAAATTAAATTGGTCTTCATGATCCTTTAATGACTTGACTAGCATGATCTAGACAAATATAGGTGTGCATCAATTTCCCATTTCCTTTATCCTTCAGAGAAGTCGAGAAGGATTGAAGAATGAGTTTCAAAAGATCAATTCAACCTGGGTTCAAGACTTTGATCTAGAACACTAGCTCCAAATTGTGCTTAAATCTTCAAAACAAGTTTAATAAGGCAATAGTGTTGCTTATAAATGTTTGATTAGTTCTTTATTTTGAAAATCATATTGATTTTACTTAAATTATCGTTCTTGTTTTGAGCTATTTCAGAGCTCTTGCATTTTGTAAAAATGAAAAGTTTGAATGTCTTTTAAGCCCCCTATTGCAGCTAAAGAAAAAAAAGAGGAAACAAAGAGCACAGCTTCACTACCTCTTGAGAGTTCTACATCTTAAGAAATGCCTCCACTTAAAAAAGTTTAAATTGAACATGAAGGTTGTCTATGCTAGGTGATTGTCCACAAAACTATAAAGATTTATAATCAATTAAAATTATTAATTAAAAAAATAAAATTAAAATTATATTGAATTATATTTAAATGATGCTTTAAAATAAATGAAAATATTTAAATATGACTACCATTGACATCATACGATTGCGTGACTAGGGTTGTCAAAACGGCTCTTTGTTCGCGAACATCTCGTGTTCGACTCGCTAAGCAAACGAACTGAATACAAACAATTTTTTTTGTGTTTGAAATATAAACGAGTCGAACACGAACAATGATGTTTCTTAACGAGTCGAACAGAAGCTGAACCTGGGCTCGCTCGTGTTCAGCTTGTTTGAACCCCTAGTTCCAACAATTGTCCTCCCATAAATTAAATTTCTAGTATTTATATATCCTTTTTTTAAATTTCTATTTGAAGAACCTCTTCAGAAGGTGACTTGAAAAACAATAGTTATATTTATGAATATCTTTGTATTACATGGCATTTCTTCTCCTGGACTATGATGTGAGGAGAAGTTTTTGAATGGAATTAACTTTTATCTTTGTGAGTTTGCATGCAATAACAAAAGATTCTATTTTACTTCTCATTATTTTCATTGATGCTTAACCTTATGCAATGATACACAAAAAATATATGCATTTTTAGACCCATATTTTATACTCAATTTTGGTGATATTGCACTTTAATGAAAGATATTTTTATGTTATCTTGCAGGTTGTTGATTTAGGACTTGGAGCAAAAATAATGAAATTTGGAGTCAAAATGAAAAAGTTAGAAATTTGTTCAGCGCCAACGGTGCCGTTTGATAGAGAACAGCGGAATTAATTATAGACTACTGGCGCCGACGGCTCCAGAATGAGCGCCGACGGCTCCTATGTCGGTTCAGCCCCCGTTTCTAGAAGATTTGACGAATTTGAACGTTTTTTTAAGAGTTTTTGGATTCACCTATTGGAGAACCGACTCTAGGCAGTATTTGGGGCCGAAATTAACCAGAAAAGTGGCTTCTCATTCCTCCTTGCATTTTTCGCCATACCTCACATCCATACACTTTATCCATCCTTATTCCACCACCATTCAGGAGTCTATTAGTGAGTTTTATTTAAAAGTTTAAAGTTTTTGTGGTGAGATTTAGTGTGAATTCTTCTCTAAGAGTGTTAGAGAAGGAGAAAAGTAGAAAATTTCTTCTTCTTACATTTCCTAGGAGAGGCTACAAGAGGTTTGTTTTGAGAAAGAGTTTCAGATAAATGTTGTTTGTTTATTATTGTTGGATGAAATTTCTTTCTTTTATATATAAAATTTGTGTTGTTGTTTCTCTCTCATGAAGTCAGAGTAGTTCCCTTTATCTTTCTCCCTGCTCTGAGATATGATGAAATGAAGAGATAATATAGATGTGCCAATATTAAAATATAAAATAAATTGTGATGATTTTTCAACTCCAAACTTAATTTACTTTTTGATCTGGCCAATTAAATTGTTAAAATGTGTTGTGAAACATATGATTCGAGAAATAGAATATGAGTTCTACTGAGAATCACATTTGATTCCATGAAAGAATATTTCATTCATGGAATTAAGTGCAAATAAATAGGAAAATATACATTATCGGGTGTAGAATTGGAGAACCTTTAGGGTGGTAGACTAAAATCTTCAATTTAGTCTTAGTGTTTAAAAACTGAAGCGAGAGCTAGCCTTCAGGTGAAGGGAAGTGTCACAGATTTAGGAACTAAACCTGGGATTAACCAATGATTTTCTATAACACTGTATCAGGGTAGAGAATTAAAACTGCTCCTATTTGACACAATACATATTAAACCATTTATCTCATATCATTTTACCAAAATCTCATTGTATTGAGAAAGATGTTTTTTCACATAAAAAATCTTCATCACATAAACATAGTTTAATGATTTAGTAGTTACTGTTTAAACTTTGCATTTTAGTTTTGCTAATAGTTAAATAATTTAGTTTTGATAATATTTTAGCATTTGAAATTAGTGAAAGTAATTTTGTTTTACTTTTTTAATTTCCTAATAAATTTATCATCTCAAATTTAAACCTTCCCCGTAGGATCGATATTCGGGACTTAAAACATCAAGTCCTTTATTACTTGATAATGATATGTATACTTACGTAGAATCCCATGATTAATTGCTTAAATTTCATAATTATATTTAGAGCATCAAGTTTTTGGCACCGTCACATAGCGGAGAACTTTATATATTTTGCACAACTTTATCAAACTGTGATCAAGTTTTTGGCGCCGTTGCCGGGGAAGGTGACGGTAAATTAGGAAATTTAGAGATAATATAACTAACTAAAAAAAAATTTAAAATAAAAAATCCAAAAAGAAATAAATTTTTATTTAAGATTATTTTTAAGATATTTTTTTTGTTTAATATATTTGTTTATGCGAAATATTGGATCGAAGGTTTAGTACCTTACCATTCAAAATTAGAACGTACTATTAAAAAAATTCGAAAACAACAAAAAGAAATTAAAAAATTAAACGAAATGGCGAATAACTTAAATAATCAAATAAATGAAAATCGACAAAGACCTTTAAAAGATTATGCCAATCCGACAGCAGATGAACTTCACTTAACTATCCAAAATTCTGATGTTGCTGCTAATTCATTTGAGCTTAAACCTTCTGCTATTATCCAAATGGTACAAAATAATCAGTTTGGAGGAACACCTATTGAAAATCCTAACTTACATCTTGCTAGTTTTCTAAAGATTTGTGCTACTTTTAAATATGACGGAGTGTCTAATGATGTTGTTAGACTTTTTACTTTTTCATTAAGGGATAAAGCCAAAGCTTGGTTAAATCCATTAGCACCTAGATCTATCAGAACTTAGGGAGAGCTATCACAAAAAATCTTGGCTAAATATTTTTCACCCTCGAAAATCGCTAAACTTAGAAATGATATTTACATCTTTTTGTCAGTTTAAAGCAATCAATATATGAAGTTTGGGAAAGATTTAAAAATCTTCTTAGAAAATGTCCACACCATGCTTTACCAAATTGGTTAATAATTAAAAGGTTTTATAATTGATAAAAGGTTTAATAATTGATTAGTAGGATCACTTAGATCTATTATAGAAAAGGTTTTATAATTGATTAGTAGGATCACTTAGATCTATTATAGATGCTGCTGCAGGTGGATCACTAATGTCAAAAATTTTTGATGAAGCATACTCTTTTTCGAAGAAAATGTCAACTAACAATTTTCAATGACCCTCTGAAAAGGTAAATCCTAAAAGAGTAGCTAGTATTCATAATTCTGATGCAATGCCTATTTTAACATCTTAAATTGTTGCTATTTCGAAAAAGATTGATCAAATTAGAGTGAACTATTCCCAAATATCCCCAGTATTAGAGGAAAATTCACTATGGCAGATAATTAATACTTAATCATCTTATAAAACTTTAAATGCTATAAATAATCAAAATAACAATCCCTATTCTAATTATTATAACCCTGGATGAAAAAATCACCCTAATTTTAGTTGGAATAATTATAACAATTCGGTAAATCCTTCCGGAAATTTGAACAACAAAGGAAACCTTAATTATCGACCTTATTATTTTCCTGGATTTAACTCTAACCCTAAGCCACAAGTTAAAGAAAAGAAGTTGACAATGGAAGAAGTAATGTTGAATATGAGAAATCAAATACAGAATCAAGAGACTGTTATTAGAAATATTGAAAATCAATTAGGACATATTGTTACTGCACTTAGTAATAGACCTTCAGGAATTCTTCCGAGTACGGTGGAAGTTTATCCAAAAGATCAAAATAAGGAGCAAATTAAAGCTATTCAGTTACATGGTGGAAAAGTAGTAGAAACAAGGATTCAAAGAGAAACTGAAGTTGATGAAGAGAAGAAAGAAATGGAAAGTGACCAAAATGAATATGAGTAAACACAAGGTCCTTTAGAAAAATCATTACCTCTGTTTCGTCAAAGACTGGTGTAGAAGAATAAAGATAAACAATTTACAAAATTTTTGGAAATTCTTAAGAAGTTAACAATAAACATTACTTTTGTTGAAGCTTTGGAACAAATGTCGAGTTATGTGAAATTTATGAAGGATATACTAAACAAGAAAAGAAAGTTTACAGATCATGAGACCGTTGCACTCAGTGAAGAGTGCTATTATTTAGAAAAAAATTCCTGAGAAATTAAAAGATTATGGTAGTTTTACTATACCATGTGCTATTGGCGAAAAGTTTTTTGGAAAAGCTTTATGCGATTTAGGAGCGAGTATCAATTTTATGTCTTTATCGATCTTTAAACGTTTAGATTTGGGAGAGATTTCCCCTACTACTGTAACTCTTTAGTAAGTTGATCGATCAATAACTTATCCAAAAGGATTTATAAAAGATGTATTAGTAAAAGTGAATAAATTTATTTTCCCTGTAGACTTTATAGTATTGGATATGGAGGAAGATAAAGAAATTCCTATTATTTTGGGGAGACCATTTCTTGCAATAGGGAGAGCTGTGATAGATGTGCAAAAATGAGAATTAATAATGAGAGTTAATAATCAAGAAGTAACATTTAATATTGTAAAATTTATGAAATATCCAGCAAAATAAAAAAAATAATGAATGTTTTAGGATGGAAGTAACAATGAGAGGAATTATACCTATGTAAAGGGGTAGGGAGTGAAGGCTTTGACTGCTTTCGATCTACCAAAAGAGATCGGTCTGGTCGTGAAGAAGAGAGGCGGTGGGAAGCTTGTTGTCGGGCAGTAGAGACGAGTCGGACGGAAGGAGAGGATCTCGTTCGCTGCCGAGGAAGGAGACGTGATACGCGGGTTCGACGCGGGAGACGGGATCGGACACGCAGTCTGGGCGGCTTCGATGCGGGGAGACGGGATCGAGCAGAACTCGTCGATGCGGGAGATGGGAGACGCGTCGAACGGGCTGAGGCTTTTGTATGGACTTTAGCAAATATTAAAGGAATTAGTCATTCTAGTTGTATGCATAGAATTCTATTAAATGAATAATACGAATCTAAAGCTGATCCGCAGAGGAGATTAAACCCAATAATGAAATAAGTTGTTAAAAAAGAAATTTAAAAATGGTTAGATGATTGAATTATATATTCTATTTCAAACCGTGCTTGGGTAAGTCCAATTCACTGTGTTTTAAAGAAATGAGAAATGACCTTTGAAGAAAATGAAAAAAATGAATTAATTCCAATAAGACAGGTGTTGACCTCATTTTTGTGGTCATTTCTTTTTCCTTAGGGTCTTAGGATCGCTCTAAGAGTTCCTAAAGCTCTAGTAGTTCCTATTGATCGTTTTAGAAAACTAGAATTGGGACCCACCCTTTCAGAAATTTTAGCCACTTCTTATTTTCCTTTGATGTATAGCATCTTTGGCACAAGACCATCATCTTATGAACGAGCGATTATGAGTTATTTTTGCGAAGACTCAAGGGAAAAATTCCTGATAGG